CCCCCCCCCTCAAAAAAAAAATAAAATAAACAAAGTATTGGTAATTTTTGAAACCCCTAGATTACCTTAGGCTTGGGGGGGATTTTCAGACTTCGGGTTTAAGTCTTAGGGGCTTAGGGTCAACTTGGGCTCTTTTGGGGTTTGGGATATACGAGAAAGCTACGGCTTAGGTACCCTAAACCCTAAACTTGGAGTTGTAGGCTCTGGGTAGTGCTAAGAGCGCAGCTTTGTATGCCAGTATCAAAGGGCACGCATGATGATTTTCTTATCTTCCGGGTGTTGCCTGGAGCCTTGTGTGGGGTGCCGACCTTGGTGGTTGCGGTAGGCACTCAGAATAATTGCAGGGTATCTTCTGGTTGAATCAAAGGGGTTATACTATGAGAAAGCGAGGTAGCCTTGAACCCGATACCCCAAACCCCAAACCATCCCAAACCCCTAAACCCCCAAACCCTAAGCCCTAAACCCCCAATCCCTAAACCCAAAACCGTAATCCCTAATCCCTAAAGCCTACCCTTAAACCCAAAACCCTAAACCCTAATCCCTAAACCCTAATCCCTACCCCTATTCTCGAAACCCTAAACCCTAACCCCTCATCCCTAAACCTTCCTACTTGCTCTTGCTCTCGGATCTCCTGGATGGACGACGACTTAGTCGTAGAGTAGGCCTTGCGCGTCGATCTATTTTCCGGTTTACCCTAACCCCCCAGGTACCTACTATATAGGGCCCTAGGGGCTCTAGCACCCTATATAGTAGGTACCTGGGAGGTTGGGGTTACCTACTGAAAAGGATCAGGGGATTCAGTAGCTAGGGTTATGATCAGGGCAACTTTGTTAGAACTGATTATAACCCCGATTTAGATATGCAGAACTTCACTTACTACGTCCCATGATCTTCCAAGTAGACCCGATGATGTAGCACCTATCTTTGTTACTCTACCTTCTTATTCAAACGTCCAAATTCATCATAAAAAGTTATCAAAAAAGACTTGCCTCCAAGCGTCTGGGCAGGTTCTGGGTTGAAGGTTTCAGCACGGGCTTCTTAACCCGGGAAGCCCAGACCGGATACCTAGATAGTTTAGGGTTTGAGGTTTAGGGTTTAGGGGTCTAGATACGTAGTCGGTTACTCTTGCTCAAACACGTAATCCCTTCTCGCCCTAAGCATGTGCCCATAAGGGGCTCCTTTCAGAGTTCCCTTGAAGGTTCTATGAGGGTGTAGTAGATGCTTTGGCCTACAATTTGTCCCTATGGGTACATGGCTCCTGGGGTAGACAAACCACATTACCCCTGACCGGGTAACCTACCATAGATAACTGGGCGTCAAAGCTACATTTCTCTCCTGTGAAGCCACTAGCCGTCCTTCGAACTATCCGACCATATAAGTAGTAGCTACACACACTCATATGACATTTACGCAACAGTGATAGTGAATAAACATACTACACATATACATATATGCATCGCTGACAGTTGCAGTATGTTATAGTGAGTATCGCATGTCAAAACCCCCATAGCTTGAGACGCTTAAAACGTGAGCCCTTCCGCACGGACCGAATGACTCTTAAACGGGTTTGTAAAGTTTGGGGTTCAGGGACAAACGGGACCCATATGGCAATTAAGCCTTGCACCCTTTTAGGGTACATGTCGCCGGTAAGGTTAGGGCCTTTAAACTTGTCCTTTATTGCATAATATACTTCGGCCTTATACCAAAATGTAGGAACTCCCTAAAGGCCTAATGTAGGGACCTTAATAATTAGAATAGGGGTTTTTGGGCCCTTTCATGGTGTAATTATAAGAAGGAACCGGCAACATAGTATAGGTGATTATTTAGGTTTCTATAGTAAGTATGTACTCTATGGGCACATACGGCCTTATGATTATGGGTTGGCCTTCGGCATGAAGCCATGTTCATGAAAGTCACTTACCCAGGGGCTCCATACATACTACCACTGTGGGAACCAGGCCCCTAAAACCACAGTAAGGATGGTCTTGTGGGGCCGAACTCCATAATGGTGAGAGAGAGAGATAAATAAATAAATAAATAAATATATATATATATATGATGTTATATATATATATATGCACATATATATATATATACATATTATAGAGGTGGAGTCTCCAGGTTATACAGGTCCAGGCATGTGCCACAGGCTAGGACAGACCAGGAAAGCTGGGTCCAAGAATTTGGTGATTTGGGGCACAATCCTAAGCCCTAAACCCTGCACCCACATATCTAAACCCTAAACTCCGAATTAACCTTTTTCGGAGTTGTATGTATGGTCGAATTGAGGGGTTCTGCTTCACTTGAAATGTGTAGGGGACTTTAATGTGTGGGTGAAAGGTTGGTGGAGTTGTGCCAAAGAACTTCCATGCCGCGGAATCTGAACAGCAGTGTGTTTTGTTAGAGACACCGCATAGACAGATCAAGCTCCAGGCTGATCAAACTCAATAAAACAGGGCAACATCATTAATTTGTATATAACAGCCAACCAAACTAAGATGCAGCAAGACACATCAACCTAGTTAGTTGGGCAGATAAAGCAGTTAGATAGACAGACAAGTAGACAGAAAGGCAACCGTACTAAAGAACCCTACAACGATAGTTGTTCTTGGCATCATGCCGTTGTCCAGGTAGGTACACCGTAGAGCCGATAACTGGTTGTTTAGGTAACCGGGCTTCTATGAAAGCAGAGTTTGCAAAGGTCTAGAGTTTAGGGAATTCGGTTCTGAGAGCAGCACGGCCGTCGCATGCGCAGTCGAATTTTGGGGGGTGCACCTGCATTGCCCTAAAGACCCAGAGGACACACAAATTGGGTACCAGGATAGCAGGAATGTCGCGTAGCATTAGGGGAGTATATGATGACTGGGACTGAGGCTGGCAGTTTAAACAGTCATGGAATTGCCCAGCCTACACTTGCAACGCTCAGTGTAGGAATATGCTTCAGCAGCTGCCTGGTAGTCAAGTACTCGGGCTTAGGATAGTAGTGTAATGTAGTAGTGGCGTAGAGTAGCACGTGGGGAGTATGAGATAATCAGATGGTAGACTCCTATAGCGTAAAGCCATGGTCGGGACAGTTGCACGTCGACGTCGGCCACGTTGACTTAGAGGGAATTCCAGAAAGTTGGAACATGGGTTTAGTAGGATTGGTGCTAGAATCCCTTATACTTTACCTTAGGGGCATGGGGATAATCATGCTCCAACTTTCTGGCTTCTATTTTACTTTTGACAAGGCACCCATACAGATTCAAGCCCTAGTTCATATTCGGGAGAGTATATGACGATGAGGTACCGGGACCCTTAGACCTCAGACCTGCTGAAAGTCTTAGGTGACTTAGTATGCAGATTGCAATCAAGTTGCAGGTATCCTAATCCCTACTTGGAGGCCCTTTTGACTTAGTAAGTCTACTTAGTATCCCCCAGGAGCCCTATTATAATCCCCATAACCCACCTTACTAACCCTACTTACTAAGTCAAAATGGGCCTCCAAGTACCGAACTGTGACCCTACCCCTATAAGGCTCAAAACAGCACAAAGCACAAAAAGCCTTCTATGGTAAGGATGGTCTTTGGGCCCTGCCAACGGTCGTAAAACCCTTCAGTCCTTAGAGCCTTACGGTAGTAGTCTCCTGATGAACCTCTGATCCTTCATGCAGGTAGTGGCGCGTAAAACCTTGAGTCCTTAGAGCCTAAACTCCAAACCCTAAACCCTAAACCCTAAACCCCTAAACCCTAAGCCCGTAGTGATCTCCTGATGAACCTCTGATCCTCCATGCAGGTAGTGGCGCGCTTTCGAATCCGTCAGCGTTTCCCGGGATGCAGAGTTCATCGGCTAATACAACACTTCAGTCAGCACCTAGGGTTTAGGGTTCAGGGTTTAGGGTTGAAGGTTTTACCATCCTAAACCCTAAACCCGAATGTACTTTTCCAAAGATTAGAACTCTTTCGGGCGTCTTGCGAAGGATTCTCTTCTGGTTCTAGGTGGTGAGGCTGTCTTGGGCTCTAGTATTTCTGAGGCTTTAGGGCTTTAGGGTACATGATTGATGATAAGAAGCCAAATGTTAATACTATATTTTGCGAATCAGCTGTAGCTTTGGGACAGAGCTTCCCTACAATAGTCGTGGACGTTGACAGGTACCTGTGACCCTAAACCCTAAACCTTTTTTTCTTGCACACGTAAAGTCCCCATAACGCACTCTAAACATCCTCAAGAAAGCCTTTCGGAGCCCTAGAAACCATTTGTTACTGGGTAATGTAGGGGCCTTAATAATTAGAATAGGGTTTGGGGCCCGTTATAATTATACTATAGTTATCATAAGGAACCGCCCAAAAACTAGTATCGGTAATTATTTAGGCCCCTACATTTAGCATACATACGCCCTTTAAACATGCCTGAACCCTAAATCTGAACCTACACCCTCATCTGTGATGCGTTAGTCAACCCAAGAAGCTGTGGCCCTAATTAAACCCAAAACCCTAAACCGTAAACCCAAACCCTAAAACCCTAAACCATTAACCCTAAACCCCGAACCCTAAAACCCTAAACCCTAAACCCCAAACCCTAAACCCTGAACCCTGATGTCGGATCCCAGGCACTGAGCCAGTCGATGCGCAGCACCCATGCCGCGGACCAGGGAGCACTTCTTTGCGATGGTGTTGGGAATCCTGGTCGGATGTTTTAAAGGTTTAAGGCCCACGGTTGGGGTTTATGGTCCTTCTACTCTGGTATAGGCTTAGAGTTATTCTTCAGGCTTAGAGTTTTGCCGCAAGCAACCAATATCCGATTTTGCCTTGTGATTCAGGGTTGCCCAAAAATCTGCACCCTGAAGCCCAGCACCGCGCAGCCCTAAACCCTAAACTCTGCGCATGAGTCCAGGCACGGCCAAATATATTTCAAGAACGGCAGAATCTCAGCATACCACCCAGAGGGTCCCCGGTACCTATAGCAGGACTCACAATCCAAATTGTATACTCCTATACCTAAAACCGTGCTATTGCTTGGGTCCTTGGACGCTCTGGGCTATAACTCCATAGCCATATAACGGGCTAGAAGGGAATACTACCCTAAACCCTAAACCCTAAACCCTAAACCCTAAACCCTAAACCCTAACTTATGGAAGCCCTTGCATCTCCCCCCTCTCCGATCTCATGCGGCCAGGCAGCATTGCAGAAACTCGGGCGCTGAAGTCGGTAGGGAACGGTTTAGGGTTTAGGGTTTAGGGTTTAGGCTCATGCTCTCTGCTAAAAATATATCGCGGGGGCGGGGGCGATAGCAACTAGCTGCCAGAGGCCGGACGGTGACCTTCGAGCCGATAGGTCGGTGAGAAAGAAGCTTTGGAGTAGGGTTTAGGGTTCAGGGTTTAGGGTTAAGGGTTTAGGGTTTATGGTTGAGGGTTTATGGGTTAGGGTTTAGGGTTTATGGTTTAGGGTTTATGGTTCAGGGTTTAGGTTCAGAGCTGCGCCGTATTTTCTTGCGGCTCCCTATGACGCTTTCCTTATATAGTTCCGAGAAGGATGGGTTTGAAGAGGTTCCCCCAACAACTAACCCAAACCCCGGGGAGGATCCAAAAAGTAGATCCCTTAATGGGGGTTCCTATAAAGAGCCCTTAGTGGTATAGGGTCCCAAATTAGGGGTTCTACTTTCTAGACCCGTCCGGGGGTCTGGGAAGCCTATCTAGACCTCCATTGCTTGTTTGATCTTCCGAAATCTGAACCCTGAGGTCGAACTCGCTTTTGCTTAGGCGTGGGCTGCCTGAATGTAATACCAGACAACGTGCTCTGTGGTATTACAGGGGTCATAAAAGGGGCCTTAACCATTGGAAGGGGATTTCGGGATTCGGGGAATATTATATATAGTCTAGACATAGTAACAAGGGCCCCTGTCCTTGAGGGACTACGGTAAACAAAAACGTACATCATTTCTCGCACGCAGCAGTATGCACACATGTAACTACACATAAATTGACACATTTGCATCGTATATGTTGGCCCTATGCTTGCACCAAGTTATGTATCGACGCACACAAGAAAGTCCCAGTATGTCTCAATGCACAGGTACTGCTCTTGCGTGCATATCTGCACGTGCTTTTGCAGAAACTGGGTACCATTACGCGCGTAAGCATCAACACAAACATACGAGCACACACACACACACACACGTTATCTCTCGAACCGGCCAGTCACCGTGTCAGCAAACCTTGAAGCCGAAAGCCCCGAACCTCAATCAACAAAACACCAACTCCCATCGGCTGGACCCTATCAACCCATGGAACTAAGCTCATCTAATGGGTGCTGGGAAGGCAGGGTGTTTTGGGGTGCATAGGCTGTCAGGGTTAAAGTTTAGGCCAAGCCGTACCTTCATCTTGTATGGAAAATGTCAGCTAACCATGACACAATAACACAACACCAAAAAACATCTAATAAAAAAGAACATTGAAGACCCTGGTCAAACGACAGGTTCAAAGGCCCTTCTGGCAGCCGTACAGACGACACTACAGAACAAAGAACCCTAAACCCTAAACCCTAAACCGCAAACACCGAGGCCGGCACCTCGCGGCGCACGAAAGGCAGCTCCAGACTTCAGCTCATGGCCGTGTTTAGGGTTTAGGGTTTAGGGTTTACTCCCCATCCACCCTTCCCACTCAAGCAGGCACAATAAATAAACAGCCATATATATATATATATACACATACATGTAAGTACTTATATATGCTTGTGTATATGTTTGTGTACATGTACAAATGTAGAAGCGCATAAATTCATAAAGCCGTGTACGCAGAAATGTACGATTTTAGCAAGGTGTAAATGTAGAAGTACAAATGTAGAAATGCATGAAGCCGTAAATGTCGAAATGTATACATGTATCAATGCAAAATGTATATATGTAAAACATGTGTTTATATATATATATATACATATGTAAATACTTCTCTATCAAATACAGATGGGCCCCACCCATAAGCACTGCATGCTGGAAATGCATCGCAATTAAATGGTTTTGTGCTACCTCGAGCTTCAATTCAACTTGCGGCAATCTTGTTGGAATTCGGAAATTGGGGGTTTATGCCTCAAAACTTGAGCCCTAAACCTTTGCATGCACCCAACATCCTTAATTTCGGCCCGAAACCTAAGCTGCTGAGCCCCTAAAACCCCAGACAAATCTTTCGGCCTACAGAATTTTACGGACTCACAGAATTGGGGGGGGGGGGGTTTAGAATTCAGGATTCAGGATGTCCTGCCCTAACCCTAGGACTCCAACGGATCGACGGTTCATGTTTCAAAACTTTTGCGCATCTTGAAGCTAATTTGTCCGACAACCAACTATGCTAAACATCGAGCTATAGTTACCAGCAATTCTGGGTTCATATAGCCTATACCGATAAGTATACTGGGTTTGGGTTACCTAAACCCTAAACCCTAAACCCTAAACCCTAAACTCTCAACCGAAAGACAGCGCATTCAGCCTTGAACCCTTGCACCATCGATACCGTTTGTTTCCGTCCGTTCGCCGACTTGAATCGAATCTGCCGAGCCTCTGGCAACGCATCATGCGAACCCCAAATGTCGCAACGATGCCGTGGAGATTGCGGCTGGGAATCTGTACTTTTCATGTGTTGGGCTTCTTAACTTTCAAGCCCTGAAAGCATGCCCAATGATGTGCTGACCCTAAACCCTAAACCCTAAACCCTAAACCCTAAACCCTGTGTTGAGCCTCGTTTCGGGGAAACTGTGGGGATGAGGGTGGCTGACACGGGGTCAGTTTCAGCCGCACCTTGCAGTGGTCGGTGCAGGGTTGTAACATCTATAAGGTACAGTGAAAAGCGTCCAAACCCAACTAAAAGCGATGTCTGGGTTTGGGACTATGCGCAGCGATCCAGCAACAAAAGTGGGAGCAGGAGAAACAGTGGAACCATGGAACATAAAATCCAATCCTCAGCCTTATTGCAAAGATCGCAGCTCCTATATTACCGTATGGCTGCAGGGAGTCGCAGAGTCACACTGCAAGGCTTTTTAGTCTAGGGACCGGAAGTTTAAATCGTGCTTTTGGCGACCTAGGAGGCCGCATGCGTTGCAAGTTCTCGGCTCCATCCGTATCCCATCAGGGAAGTCCCGCTGCACAGCAGGGATTCACGATGGCTCAGCAAGGTTCGTTTTCAATGTGCTAGCTTTCGTTGTTAATGAGGGCGCTCTGGTCATCTGTGCTGTTTTTGGGTTGTCAATTGGCATGAAGGTTATAGGATATCTATGCACATCGCAGCTCATCGACATCCGTACGGTTGAGGGTTTTGCAACACAGGGATAGGTCACCAGCGTTGCGCCGTGAAAGTCTCTCACAATATCCGATGAAAATGCAACCAAATTGCTCAGCGCTTACACCCGTACCCTGCAATAATGACGAAAATGACTCCTAAAAGCAAGGGCCTATACCGAAATACTATGATACCCCTATATACATATATATATATATATATGCATGTATGTACATATATGAGTTTGGACCATACACCCTAAACCCTGAAACCCAAGCCTTATTAGACCCTTACACTATGGATCCCTATATAGCCTTTGCGCGTCTCGTGCGCCATACGCAGCTTGAAGGCTTCCCTTCGTCCTAACGGTATAGGGTGTAGGGTTTAGGGTATAACCTACGTTTAGGGTTTAGGGTTTAGGGTATAACCTACGTTTAGGGTTCAGGGTAATCATAACCTACGTTTATAGGTTTTACGGTATAACTTACTTACTGACTATGATGTGGCAGTCCGGTCTAAGCGTAGCTTTATGGTTGAGGGTTTATGGAGTAATGGACTACAAAGCACGGAACATCCCACAGCGTCCTTCGTAGCTAAAAACGAAACAAGTAGGGTTTCTCAAGTAAGGTTTCTGAATTACTACTATGGTTCGGGTGAGTCTTCCCCGTAAAGGCACTTAAGGACCCTGTGGCCATATAGTATTGCATATTTAACCCTACTGCTTGGGGACCTGGAGAATTCTGGTGTGCGAGCTCATTGGGTAATTCTCCAAGGTAGGGTCATTTTTATAACGGTGCTGTACTCCTGATTGGGAGAACTACCCTGTTTCAGATCAGGGCTGCTTAAAGGTTCATGGGGCTTGGGTTACTTAAGCAATGCTGCAATTAGCATCGCACTACTTACAATACTTGTAGCCCCAGTTCTAACTTAGCTACAACCCTACTTGCTAAGTCCCTGGAGCCCGTAAGTAGGGTTTAGGGTGCAGGGTTTAGGGTTCAGCTTGTAGGGTTTAGGGTTCAGAGGTTTTGGGCTTGGGTATATACTGGTCCTGGGTGTAGGGAGCAAGCCGTGCTCTTGTAAGCCACGACCATCTACAGGCACAAACCTTGACAAGTCACCCGCCGCAGGGCATTAGCAACGTGGCACGCAAGAGGAAGTGTGCGGATTCTGGATTCTATATCAATAAACCCAAGCCCCAAGCCTTAATTTAACCTTTATCGCCAGAGCCAGAAAACATAGTCCTCTGAACTTTACACAAAAGTCCCACAATCGGACATCTTACTCCTCAGCTAAACCATGCGCTGAAGGCTTCTACCAGATTTCTCCTTGTCCGAGAATTGACAGGGACCTATGCACAGGACCTCCAATAAGAA